AAATTTCAAAAAACCAAAAATATTTTCATTTTCATTTTATTTTATTTTCATGTTTATTCAATGATTAAAAAAATAATAATAAATAAATAAAGGGGGGGTTCGATCGATCTGAGATTTTATTTCGATCGATTGAACTTAGGTGCGACAGTTTTTAAATAAAGGATAAGATCTCATTCTCCCCCATTTTCAAACCCTAGTTCCTATGCCGCCGTAACCTCACCCATCTCCTCCATCTCCGGCGAGATCTCTATAGTGAACCAGGTGTTGATCTCTCCCTCTTCTCGGATCTTCTTCCTCTTCACATTTCATCTCTCCTCTCTTTGCTTCAAGGTAAGATCCGAGACCACATTATTGATTTCACACCTTGATTTGTTAAAAGTATGCTTTAAGTGTTTGATCTGTTCCAATATTCATGATGATTGTTGGCCATGGATGAAGTTTTAAGCTTTTTATGTCTATATGTCCATATTCGTCTTTATGCCATATCCATTGTAATGAGTTATTTTGATTTTTGGGAGTGTGAGCCATTCTAGGTGATTGTGATTGATGATTGTTGTGTTGATGGGCCCACAAACATGTTCACGTGGGTCCCGTGCTCCCACAGTCACAGATCTGTGACTTCTCTTTTTTACAGAACACAGTTCGATCGATCTAACTTGTGCCTCAGATCGATCGAAGTTGTGAGATCGATCTCACTTATTTTCGATCGATCCAACTTTTGTGATCGATCTTACTTCTTTTTCTGATCGATTAAATTTCATAGATCTCATACACACACTTCATTCATCTTATATTCACTTCATGCTATCATATCTATACCCAATGCCTGTGATATTCCACATTGGATGCATTTCATACTTATATTGCTTAGCATACTTCACATCCTATCACTTGCATAGATTCATGTCATATATGTTTTGTCTATCCTATTTGACAAACATGTTTCTATTGTGCCTTCAATTCATTATTCTAGCACTTAATCCCATTGTAAGATTTCCTTTTTGCAGACCATGACTAAGAATGACAGTTCTTCCACTTCAGCCACACCTGAGGCTCATGATCAGATATGTCGCTTAGAGGAGCACCTTCAGAGCTTGGAGGATATGCTGGTTGCCCTTAGAGCTGACATTAGTACCCTTCGTCTGAATATGATGGCTGCCATTCGAGTTGACATTTCTCGCCTCCGTACGGAAATTTTGACTGCCATTGATGACTTAGCCAGGGAGATCCGCGGAGCTCCCTCTACCTGAGACTCCCAGTATCTTTATCTTTTTATGTTCTTTATCTATGTTATGTGTTTAGTACACTTGTGATACTATTATTTTTGCAGCCTGGTCTGTCGGCTTTGACACTGAATGTATTACACTTTATTGTTGTTTTTCTCAGTGACTTCAGTGAGAGAGTGCTACCCAATTTTCAGGACCACCCTTGTACCTTTCTCATTTCTTTATCTGTTTATCCCATTTACACTTGTATATCCACTGTGCACTGATTATCCCATGTTGTTATCTGATAAGTTTATCCAAGTGCCAATTTTCAGGACCACAGTTCATCCCAAGTTTGGGGGGGCCATGCCACCCACTTCGGATACTTCAGTCTCGATCATTCTTGCTTAGTTGCACTAGTATACTCTTTCCCTTGTTCTCTTGCACACTGAGGACATTGTGCCATTTAAGTTTGGGGGGAATGGTGCTTTACAGTGTTAGTTTTAAATTCAAAATTTTGAGCATGACTTGTATATTTGAGGGATATTTCTATGATTGGTCCATATCTAGCTATGATTTTGATCTTTTACGGACTATATTGCTTAAAATTTAAAAATTGCTTAACTTGAGAGTCCAATACTCCTTGTATGCCTTATGAATGCCATTTAGGAGTAAATTTTTTGAAAAATTGGTATCTTGCTTGCACTTGTGGTCTATATCATCTTGATTTTGTGATTATTTTAAGATTCATTTTGGGATTCTACACTAGCATAGGCGCACACTAGCATTCATTTGTAGGGTACATGCTTTGTTGATTATTGAATTGGTTATATCCCAATTGGACTAGTAGTGCATTAAAAGCTTTCATTCTTGATAAAAGTGGATAACAACCTATTTTCACTAAGTAGCCGGGATTCTAGCCTCATCAAGCACTGAATTTCTCACGCCGAAGGGTGGAGGGCCCAAACTCTAGGTTAATAATTGAATCAAAAAAAAGAAAAAGGTTGCAAAAGTAATAAAAAGCGAGGACTTCTCTCAAAAGGTGAGAAGTGGGAAATGATTAGATGGAGGTTGTTTTGATTTGTAGCCTAGTTGATTTGAGCTTGTAAGTCCGTAGGGGTATTTGAATGCCTAATGCCCTAAAGTCGTCTGGTTTGGGAGTCATTGACCTAACGCTCGACCTCATGAATCGCTAGAAAGCTTAATAGATCAACACATTGCACCATGCTTCTATCTTTGATCCTAAAAAAAAAAAAAAAAAAAAAAAAAAAAAAAAAAAAAACCCGAGTGAAAAGAATAAACGCACCTAGATGAATAAAGTTTTAATAAAAAGTCCACTTTTTGTCTTGATGATCGGTACTAGATTTGTGCGCTAGTTTGAGGGTAAGGATGTGATTAATTCTTTAGTTGGCTAAGATAGCAACACATTTGATGCCGGTCCACACAAAAGGATTCTAGAGTTGTTTTGATTTGCATGATCATTTTCTTGATGTGTGGAGGACCATATTTGCTTGTTTGATGTTGAGATTTTGGGAGATTGCTTAGAAATGTTCGAAAAATTGCATACTCGAGGTAGTTTTCTCCCAATACTTGTTTGCAATATTGGTGCCTTTTTTGAAAAAATGAGCTTAATGTTTATGGGAACCATTTCTGGAAACCTTCATGAGACTTCACTTGTCTACTAGGGGTAACCTAGGGGTTTAAAAGGCTTGTTGCATATGCTAAGTGCAATCGTGTTCCCTACGAAAGTGGCGTTATCCATTTATTGTTTTCTTAGCTCATAGTTGTATAGTTGTTCATTTCATTCCTTTACTTTCTAGTTCATTGCTAGGGACTAGCAATATTTATGTTTGGGGGTGTGATGAACGCTGAAAAGTGCGTATTTAAACCCCTTAAGCTTAGGCATTCTAGTACCTTTATTTATCTTACTTTACCGTTTTAGATTGATTTCGTATTATTTCCATTTTTAGGCACTTATCCCGAAAATAAGCTAACTCAGCCAAATAAGAGCTTAATTGAAGCAATTTTGGGATTAAACAAAGAAAGGAGCAAAGTGGAGAAAGAAGAAAGCAAATGAAGCCAAAGGTGGGAAGCAGCAAAGTTTGATCGATCCAAGTTCAAGGTTCGATCGATCGAACAATGATCGATCTCAGCACTTCAAGATCGATCCAAGCCTTGGCCCAAAAGCATAAAGTCCAAAAGTTCGATCGATCCAACACCACCTTTCAATCGATCAAACAATTTTGTCCTTATTCAAATGATTGATCCTATCCACAGGTATACCACCCACTAACCACTTTTGTCCTTTTCCCATAAATATCTCTCCAAAATATCTCGGATTTGTCTTTTCCCAAAAAGCTCAACCAGTTGGATCGATCCAGCCTAAGTTCGATAGATCTCAGCCAGTTCGATCGATCCAAGTCCAAGGTTCGATTGATCGAACTTCCTCCAGTACGAAAAAGTTAAAATTCCATCTCATTGAAAGTTGTCCTTTATCCAATCATTAGAGAATATTGTGTGCACGACCCCAGCTCATTTTAGGTGTCATTTTGACCTACCTATATAAGGATAAAGATTGATTTTTACAAAGGGGAAAAAAATATTATTTTCATATCATCTCTTGGAGAAGAAGCATAGAGGAAGAGGCTAGAGACACCATTGGAGTTCTTCATCAATAAGGAGCAGATTTCAACCATGGAGTTAGCCCTTGAGGGTTGGAGCAACATCACCATGAGTGGCTAGACATCCTCTTGGGGCTAGAGTTAGCCCCAAGCATGCTTCCTATATCTTAATCTTGTGTATTATTAAGGGATTAGTGTTGTAATTAATGTTTTGACATTTTGATATATATAGATCTTGTTTATTCAATGATTTATGTGGTTTAATGCTTCCAATTGATCATTTCATTCTATCCATATGTCTATGTATGCTAGAATAGATGTTCATGTGTTTGCCTCTATTTCTTAAGTTATTGATGTATGTCTATGCGTATTAATGCTATAGATTTAGAGATTGTCAAAACATTGTGCTTAAAAGAATGCTCTTGTGATTTTCTAGATGGTCTATGCTCATTTCTTGATGGATTATGCCTCTCCCTTAGCTTAATTAGTTTAATTTTATGTCATTAGCTTAATTGTAGTGTAGGGATAGCATAGTTGTTTGATGAGAGGACAATCCATGCTAGTTGTTTGATGTTCCATACTTTTGAATGCAAGTAGCATATGTCTCTAACTTTGTGTTGTATTTGGCTTGTGAGCTTAATGAAAGGATTAATGACTTGCTAGATATGTTGTGCTTTTCACACGCTATTTAGACAATATATACTTAATTGCTAGATATATTGTGCTTTTCACATGTTGATTAGACAATGTATGCTTAATTGGTCACCCTTGCTAATTGAATCAACCAAGCACACACACACACACCATTATTGCAACACACATTACCCTCATTAGTCACTAGTTAAAAGTGTAGAAAAGCATTGCTTGGTGGTGACCTCTAAACCCCAAGATTTCTCTCTCTCTTACTTACTTTTTGTTGCATTCGATTACTTAATTTAATTTAGTTGCTCTCTAATTTAATTAACCAACCACCCCTTTGTTTGATCACTTAACCTACTAGCCCTAATTGTGATTCCACAATCAAGTACGACTCCAATCCCTTGGAACGATCCCTACTCACTCTTGTTACTTTAGTAGTAGTGTTGGTAGTGGTTTTTATAAATTTAAACTTGACTCAAAAGGCTTTTCTTGAACCGCACATTCACTACATCAATTTGGCGTGTAGGAACGGCTTTTACCAACTGTCAAGTACCCCACCAATGCCCACATGAGAGGCATCGCAATCAACTTCAAAGATTTTTTCAAAGTCCGACAAAACAAGAACAGGTGCGCTAGACAGTTTTTCTTTAACAAGCTGGGAACTTTTTTCGACCTCAGTTGTCCACCTGAACGCTCTTTTCTTCATGCAATCAGTTAAAGGGGCTAAAATAGTGCTAAAATTCCTTATAAATCGGCGATAAAATGAAACAAATCCATGGAAACTCCTCACTTCTTGTAAGCTTTTTAGTGTAGGCCAACTTTAGACAGCTTTGATCTTTTCTTCATCCACCTTTATCCCCGTAGAAGTCAAAACAAGGCCTAGGAAAGCTAGGCTATTTGTCATGAAAGAACACTTTTTGAGGTTTACATACAGTTTTTCTCCTCTCAAAGTGGTTAGAACAGCCCTCAAATGCTCCATATGCTTACTTTGATCATGACTATAAATAAGAATATCATCAAAGTAAACAACAACAAATTTACCAATGAAAGGTTGAAGCACTTAATTCATTACCCTCATGAAAGTGCTTGGAGCATTGGAAAGGCCAAATGGCATGACAAGCCATTCATATAAGCCCTCACGAGTCTTAAAAGCGGTCTTCCATTCATCACCCAGCTTGATATGAATTTGATGGTAGCCACTTCTAAGATCAATCTTGGAGAACACCTTAGCACCGGCAAGCATGTCGAATAATTCATGAATTCTTGGGATAGGAAACCGGTATTTGATGGTAATTCGGTTAATAGCACAATTATCCATACACATGCGCCATGTCCCATCTTTCTTTGGAGTTAACAAAGCCGGCACCACACAAGGACTCATGCTTTTTCTAACATACCCCTTCTTTAACAACTCCATGACTTGCCTTCTTAATTCTTCATGTTCTTTTGGGCTCATCCAGTAATAAGCCTTGTTAGGAAAACTAGAACTGGGAACAAGATCAATTTGGTGTTGAATGTCTCTAAGTGGAGGGAGACCATTAGGCAAATCGTCAGGTGTAACATCTTGAACTCTTCCAAAAGAGGTTGTAGCTCACTAGGCATATCAATGGGCTGCACTTCTTCTTTAGAAATTAACATATATATAATACCAGTTTCATTACTTTCTTTCATAAATTTTGACAAAGTTAGAAAATTACTACCCTCCTCCTGTGAAGATTTAGGAGTTTTTTCCTCTTTACTTAGCAAGAGAACAATTTCTAATTTACCTATTTTAAAAAAGTAGATGTTCTTACGACTATCATGGGTAACACTTTTATCATATTTCCAAGGTCTTACTAGGAGTATGTGACACACATCCATAGGAACAACATCACACCACACTTGATCATTATAATTTTTGCCCATAGAAAATGAAATAAGACACCTTTTGGAGACTTTTACCTCATTTCCTTTCTTAAACCATCCAATCCGATAAGGATTTGGATGAGGCTCGGTTTGGAGCTTAAGCTTGTTCACCATTTCTTGTGAGATGATGTTTTCACAACTCTCACCATCAATAACAATTTTGCACACTTTGCCTTGAGATTTGCAACGAGTCTTGAAGATATTAGACCGAAGCCAATGTTCATTGGATTCAACTCTAGGAGTGGCAAGTGCTCTTTGGATCACCAAGCTTTTGCTTTCTTTGGGTTCAATCTCCTCATGTTCGAATTCACATTCTTTATCATATATGGGCTGATTTGAATCATCAAAGACCCTGTCATCAATGTCCTCATTACCAAAAGCCACACGAGCATCAACTTACCCCTTTGGACATTCGTTGTAACGATGCCCAACTTGGCCGCATTTGAAACAAGACATAGGATTGTTGTTGCGACTAGATTGAGCTCCAACATGGTTGGTAGGGGCTGATTTTCCAGAATTTTTACTCGCATCTCCAAACTTGAAATTAGTTCCTCCACCACAAGAAGATTCTCCTTTAGAAGAAGGATAAAGACAACGAACATATATAAACTTTTTAGCACCACCCCGAGCCAGTTTAGCCTCAACTTTCAAGGCTAATTGGTAAGCATCATTGACCCTCCATACTTGATAGATTTCTACTTCATCGTGAATTGGAATTTTCAACCCACCAACATATCTTGAAACAAGTTGTTCTTCAGTTTCTTGAATGTCATTCTGGGCTATGAGTTTTTAAAATTCTTCGATGTAATCTAACACACTCTTTGAATCTTGGTGAAGGTTGTTAAATTGAGATAAACAACTTTGTGCAAAATCCAAAGGTAGAAATTTCTCTTGAAGCCTAGACTTCATTTTCTCCCAATAAGAAATTTTAGGCTTTCCCTTGCGAAGCCTCATCTTTTGAACTTTGTCCCACCATGCCGAAGCATAACCTCTAAACCTTTTTGCCACAAGCTTTAATTTTTGATTCTCGGGTGTTTCTTTGTAATAAAAGAATTTCTCAATGGCACTAAGCCAATCAAGAAACTCTTCGGGGTGAAGACGACCATGAAACTCCGGTAAATCAATCTTCACATATTCAGAATCACGATAGAACCTTCCTAACCATGGTCCAGCACGATTGGCAAAAAGGGTTCTCATCGGACTCATCACTAGAAGACCCACGACTTGATCTACCGTGCTCACGATGAACTTCTTGGCTTTCCAACCGCAAGGTAAGTTGCTTAACTTGTCTTCGAAGTGCTTGAAGTTTATCATCTCTTTCATCCCTCAAATCTCCTATCATATGGTTGCCATTTCTTCCTCTACCTCTTCTAGCCGCCATGAAACAAGAACAATAAAAGTCGGCTCGAGAGCATAGCACAAGCTGATACCAAATGACGTGGTTGGATAAGAAGGAAAAAGAAAAATTATAAGACAATAAGACACAACTAAGAAATGAGTTGGATAAACAAAGAGCTATGCTTTATAATTTCATTACAAAATATAAATTCCAGTTCTATAGCTTCTTTACTCCCAGCACATATAAATATAAGACTCTAACTTCAACACTATATTGATGAGGCTTCAACTCCCAACTCAAAACACAAGACTCAAGATTGACAACCTTAATTAAACACACATTCCAATACCCAAAATACCAAGAAAATAAATAGAAGTTGTTAAGGAGAACAAGTCATTTTCCAAGACATCTTATAATCTTCCAATTAGCCACTGAAGCATCCGCATGTTGTTGACAAGGCTGCCAAGTAGGCACTGCATCACATTGCAGCACTGTAACCTTGAACAACTGCTTGCCCTTTTTTCAACATTAGAATACTGGAAAAGGAATTGTCTTTCTTAGGGGTTTGTTTGTTTAGATGGGAATGAATAGTGAAAAATGAAAGTTAAAGAAAGTAAAGTGGATGAAAACAAATTCAAGTTTTCAACATGCATTTGCTTAGCAAGAAAGTTGTAAAAACTATTATTTTGTTAGTTTGGATAGCATGAAAATAAAGAGAAAATTATTGTACTTTCCAAAACTTCCCTTGTAGTTTCAAATACTAGAGAAAGGGAGAAGAGAGAGAAACAAAATTCTTATTGTGTTTTATGTGGGAAACATTTTGGGAAAATTAAGCACTAAAGGGAATACCAGTTTCCTAAAATTTTTCCCTTTTCATCTCATCCAAACTTATAAAAATTAGACATCTTTATCATTTCTTTTCCTTTCTTGGTACTTCAATCTAACCAAACGCACCTTATGGGAATAAATGGGATATGAACGAACCTAGGAGATATTAGTATATACAAATATTTTTTACACTAAAGTCTAATATTAGAATATACAAATATTTGACATGGAAAATGTGATTCTTTCTGATTGAGTTCTGTAGGGATTGGCACCAGTCTCGGAATTCTATTTTTACTTATTGGTACTTGGTGGATAATTAAACTAGCGTAAAGAAGAAGGAAAATTAAGCTCAAAGAAGATTTCTTTAAACAAAATGGGGGTTATTACTGCAACAAGAATCGTCTTCAGGTGAAGGTAACGTTGAGAAAACCAAACTCTTCACTTCAAAAGAGTTGGAAAAAGCCACCCCCATTTTAATGAGAATCGAATTCTAGGTCAAGGAGGCCAAGGTACTGTTTACAAAGGCATGTTGATAAATGGTAGAATTGTAGCGGTTAAGAAGTCTAAAGTAGTGGGTGAAGACAAACTTGATCGATTTATTAATGAGGTGGTCATTTTATCACAAATTAACCATAGAAATGTAGTCAAGCTACATGGATGTTGTTTGGAGACAGAAGTACCCTGTTTGTTTATGAATTCATCCCTAATGGAACACTTTTCCAGTATATCCATGACCAAAATGAAGAGTTTCCCCTTCTGGGACATTCGTGTTCGGATTGCAATATAAAATTGCAGGAGCTCTTTCTTATTTACACTCAGCAGTTTCCATACCCATTTGTCATCGAGACATTAAATCCACATACATATTGTTGGATGATAAATACAAAGCAAAAATGTCTGACTTTAGGACTTTAAGATCAATAGTAGTTGATCAAACTCACTTGACCACAAAAGTACAGGGGACCTTTGGATACTTGGATCCTAAGTACTTTCAATCAAGTCAGTTTACAGAGAAAAGCGATGTTTATAGCTTTGGAGTAGTTCTTGTTGAGCTCTTAATTAATAGGATAAAAAGCGATCTCATCAATCAAACTTGAAGAATGGCGAAGTTTAGCAACATATTTTATATTAACAATGAAGGTGAATTGTTTGTTTGATATTCTTGATGCTCGAGTTGTGAAAGAGGGTGGGAAAGAAGAAATCATGCGAGTCTCTAATCTTGCAAAAAGATGCTTGAACTTGAATGGGAAAAAAAGGCCAACAATGAAAGAAATTGTAATGGAGTTGGAAACCATTGGACTGTCATAAGGAACATCTGCTATTCAACAAAACTATGAAGAATATGAATTTGAAGTTGCTGAACTCAATGGGTCTTGGGATGCTGCTTCAACTTAGGTAGGAACTTATCTAGATTGTAGGGTATGATCATCGTCAGATGTCCAAGTAAACATAATCGTTAAGGTTTTGTTTTCCATGTTCTCGTTTGAATAATAGTGTATAATCACTCAAAGATTTTCCTACTTCTGGTGTTTAAGAAATAATGATCAGCAAGAAAATTTTAGCGCCCTCTCTATTATTTTTCATCTTGTGTAAGCCAAGTAAGAAATACTCAACATTTGTTTCTTTGGAGAGTTTATGGATATCATTTTGTACGTAAATTCAAATTATATACAAGGCATTTTGTATATATTGGTCAAGTACGATACATCTCTTTTGTCGTTTTAGGGTGATCCCGTTGAGTTATGCCCGTTCTGAATAAACATTGATGTATTCTCTTAGTCGGGATCCCTATGTAAACCTATATAGTCGACTACAATATATATATGCACCAAATTCTACTGTTTCAGTATCAATCACCCAAATGAATGGTCCAAAGACATGCTCCATGTTGTGGTTTTGTGGAGTCTGATTAGGTGGAAGATTTTTAGGAAGAATTAATTATATGGAAACTTCAAGAGTATTGAATTTTAGAGAAAATTCAGTTTCCTAATCTGATTTGACTTCCTTATTGGTTTAAGGAAAATTCAGTTTCCTGATTTGATTTAATTTCCTTATTGGTTTTGGATTCTACAAAAGTCAAATACTTGTAGGACAAGTTTGGGGACTGTATAAATAGGGTGAGAAAGTTAGAGAAAAATTTGTGCCAATACAAGAAAGAGCAATTGAGAGAGATTGAGAGAGAATTCTCCTTATAATTCTTTATCTTTTTTATAGTGAATTTGTTCAGTGTGTTCCATGGACGTAGCCCTAAGATTTGGGTGAACCATGTATATCTTGTGTTCTTGTGTGTGATTTTTTTTCTTTATGATTGCTTGATTATTCCTCGAACAACATGCGTTGTTATTTTGCGTTTCCGCCACAATAACTGGAATCAAATTCGGTTGATTGTGTAGTGCAACTCTAACAACTGGTATCAGAGCCTTTGGTTGAGAACCTAGGGCACAAAAGGTGTTTGACAAAATTTTGAAAGTTTTTCGATCAGATTTATCCGTTCGAGTGGGAGTAATGGCATCAGAAGATAAGACATCCACATCCATGATCGAGAAGTTTGATGGCACAAACTTCGGTTTTTGGAATATGCAAATAGAATACCTTTTGTTTCAAAAAAATCTGTATCAACCTTTGGGAGAGAAGCCAGAGGATATAAAGGATGCAGATTGGGAATTACTTGATAGGAAGGCTCTTGGCATCGTCAGATTGACGTTGTCAAAGTCAGTCGCCTTCAACATCAAGAATGAGAAGACGACGATGTCTCTCATGGCAGCCCTTTCTAGTATGTATGAACAGCTTTCTACAATAAACAAGGTGCACTTTATCAAGAAGTTGTTCAACATGAAGATAGTCGAAGGTGGTAAGTTCAACGAATATCTAAATGCGTTCAACGAGATAGTTGGGCAATTAGAGTTTGTTGATATTTACTTCAAAAACGAGGTCCGAGCACTGCTAATTCTAAGGCAGTTACCTGAGAGTTGGAGTGGCACAGTTACAGCGATCAGTAGCTCTACAGGGAAGACTAAGTTAAAGTTTGATGAAGTTGTGAGCATGATTCTGACTGAAGAAATTAGAAAGCAAACAACAGGGGTTTCCACCAGTGGTTTGGCGTTGAATGTTGAAAGCAGAGGCAAGGGTTCAAATAAGAAGAAGGGCAACAGTAATAGAAACAGAGGCAGATCCAAGTCAAGGAATGGAAGGACACAGTCTCAAAATTTCAGGAATTCAATAGATCTCAGTGATGTTGAGTGTTGGAATTATGGAAAGAAGGGACATTACCGTATTAATTGTAGACTTCCAAAGAATGGAACCGAAAGAAAAACTAAAGCAAACTTTGTCTCAGAAGAATCAGATGATGCATTGATATGCTCTTTGGAGAGCAAGGCGGAGTTATGGGTTTTAGATTCTGGCACATCGTTTCATGGCACCTCAAACAAAAAGCTATTTAATAGCTATGAACCGAGTAACCTTGGCAAGGTGTATCTTGGTGATGACTAGCCTTGCAGTGTCTGGTCGTGTTGCCTGATGTGCGGCCAAATTTGCATTAGTAAAAGGTGGACTAAGATGAGTGTGGCCAAGTTCTATATTTATAATTTGTCACTACTACCTTTCACTTAAAATATAGCTAGGGCAAGTAGGGATCGTCCCAAGGGATTGTGAGGGTCGTAAAAGGTTGCGGAATTAAGATTAGGGTTAGTAGGTCGAGTGATCAAAGGATTGATTGGTGGTTGAATTAAGCTAAGATGCAATTTAACTAAAGTAAGCAATAATATAATAGAGGTAAAATAAGAGAGAGAGAAATCTTGGGGTTTAGAGATCACCACAAAACACAACTCTTCTACACCCTTAATGAATGATTAATGAGGGGGGAAACATGTATTGTAATAATGGTATGTGTGTGGTCGTTTCAACAAGCATGGATGAACAATTAAGCATATATTGTCTAGACAACTCAATGAATAGCACAACATATCAAACTAAGCCATTAATTTCTCTTTAAGCTCATAATCCAAACACAACACAAAATTAGAGAAATATGCCATTTGCATTCATAAGTATGGAACATCAAACAACAAACATGGATTGTCCTCCCATTTAACATCTAAACTACAATTACACTACAATTAAGCTAATGACATGAAATTAAACTAATTAA